AAAAAAAAAAAAAAAAAAAAAAAAAAAAAAAAAAGAAAGAAAGAAAAAAAAGGCTTAAAGGCATTTCATTCAGATCAAAAGCTGTGTCAGACACAAAACGTATTTAATAATTAAAAATGAGCTTTTATATGCAGGACTGGTTTTGTGGAGGGAACATGCATGCGGCTGTCGGGAGACAGAAAGTTGTCCAGGACTCGCGGGGTTAGGAAGCCACAAGGCCACAGGTTCAGGACAAAAAATCAAAACAAAAAACTAACAGCAGACACCCCAGTTGCCACTATGCCCAAACCCTCTGGATGCTGAAAAAAAATGCCACTTTTGGCAAAAAAAAAAAAAAGTATGCAAGCTATTATTTAAAATGTGTAAAAAATGCTATTTCTCTCTCTTTTTTTTTTTTTCCTGTAAAATACTGCGGTTTATAGTTATTTACAAATGTAAGCTTTGGTACAAGCTGACCTTTCCATAGCGCGCTGCATTGGTAAGTGAAAAACATGGGGCCGATGTCGGGGTACTTCCCTTGTCAACTGGCAGCATCCGCTTAAAACTCCTCTACGTTCCCTATCGTACCATTTTAATCTATCCGACTTTCTTTGTATCTTCTGGCTGTATGCTTTCTCTTTTAACTTTTTATATTGTCATTTTATATTAAATTTCTGTGTATATAATGTAAAACCACGATTTTTGAATAAAATTTAGTTCCTGCAGCTTGATTTAAAATAGAGAAATTTTACTGGCGTTTGCATCTCTCCGGATGCATGTATATCAGACGAAAAATAAATAAATGGAGACAAAGCGAGGCACTATAATTATACGTCCGATGTTCTGTCATTAATATTGTACAGTACGTTTGGGTTCACACAACTAAAGCCACTGTTTTCTCAACTGTAAAATAAACCCTCACACCGTTCTCGGTTTACGTCGGTTGTCATGTTTTCATTCTTCGACCTTGGAGGTGTTATTTCGGCTGCCAGAGGTCTTGCTGATGCGATCGGCCAGCAGAGATCCCACTCAGAATCACCGTTTAGGAGCTGGGTGCTGACACCCCTTCACCCAAACAATAAGTGTTGCACTTTTAGAAATGATAATTAACTTTTTTAACTCCACTGGCTGCCGCTGAGCGGAGCTGCTGAGTGAGGGGTGTTTGGTCCATAGAGAGATGGAGGCCTCTGTGTGGAGAATCCTCTCGGACAGTTGCAGTGTCCAGTGCGCTCTCTGGGCATCTTGGGACTTGAGGATGGGTGGGGGAGGGGAGGGCTCCCTCTGGAAGGGAAGAGCCGGGGTCCTAGGGTTAGCCCTGCATTGTTCCAAAGAGGAAATCTGGTATCTGTGCTTTAAAAAATGTGCAATTTTAAAACAGGAGCTGCCCTCTGATTCGGTGTCAGGACTGGCCTTGCTTCTGTAGGTTGCCCTGTGCACCCAGCCTCTCCTGAGGGAGCGGCAGGACCCTGGGCATGTGAGGCTGTGAGCCGTGAGCCATGAGGTCCAGGCCTCCGTCTGTACTGAGGGAAACCCCAGGAGCGCTTAAGGACATGGCAAGGAAATTTCTTTTTCTACCTTTTGCTTAAATTTCCATTAAATGCATCCTGAGAAGGGGTAGAACTTCGGGCACTCTATTTGGAAGCAGCTGAGCAGCTGGAGAGAGCTGGACACCCCCTACCTGGTAGGAGGCTTTGGGGGGGGCTGGGTGGTGACTTGGCCATGCAGTGTTTTTTCTCTTGGTTAGGGCGACATTGTTCATATGCCCAAAGTGACCCTGCTTGAGTCTTGGCTTTAAAATCTAAATGTCTTGCCCGGCTGGCGTGGCTCAGCGGTTGAGCATCGACCTAGGATCCAGGAGATCGCGGTTCGATTCCCAGTCAGGACACATGCCCGGGTTGCAGGCTCCTGGGTCCCCAGCAGGGGGCGTGCAGGAGGCAGCCGATCAATGACTCTCATCATTGATGTTTCTCTCTCCTCCCTTCCTCTCCGTGAAATCAATCAAGACATATTTAAAAATAAATTAAAATCTAAATATGTTTTTTGTAAACTGCATTTCTAAACCTTTTGAGATATTCCCCCAGGATGCATTGGTGAAGGCGTTTGCTGTTGCTTAGTATTTAGAGAGGACGCCCATGACGTAATGGTAGATAATAGTTTACGGAGGGAAACGACCCGTTAGGCATCGTGTGCAAAAAGAAGTGATTAAAAATTTAAGATTTATGTCCCTACATTTCTACATTTGCTAATCTTTAAAAAGCTTCGTACATTAGTATAAAGATTGTCTAAACTTCTCCCAAGACCTCAGAAACCTGTCCATACAAGGAAAGGCGTCTGCTTTTCTCCAACGTAAGATTTCTTGTTACTCCCTTTGTTATTATTTTTCTGAAGGTGATGGCCCATCATTGACTCGTAAACTTAAAAACACCGGAGAACAGAATTTGGAGAGCGCCTGGGATTTTTACGTAACTTTTACTCCTGTAATAGAAGTAACACACAGTCATTGCAGAGAACTCGTAACAGGACATGAGGAAGGAAATAAAAATAACTTAAGGTTTTCATCTATGGAAAAGTCATTGTTAACATCTTAGTGGTAACATCTTTTTCCCCCCGTGTTTCTATAAAATAGAGATCACCCTGAACACACTTTTGTACTTTACTTGATAGCAGACGACACACCTTTTCCCATGTCATGAAATACCCAAAATTCCTAATCATTGAGATGGCCTATGGTTTAGTTAGAGTTTTAAAAAGCACCATTTAGATTCAAGTTGCGACTGTTTCAAGTGAGGGCGAAGGACATCCCAGGCAGCCTTTCTGGTTGTTTCCTAAAACAAACGCCTGCAGCTGAAACTGGGTCGCGCCCGAAGGTTGGGCTCCAGGCACCACGACCGGGCACCTTCCTTTCCCGTCTCCCTTTCACCAGTGAGTGGGCACCCGTGGCTCCAAAATCTGAAGTAATCGAGCGGAAAGCTGACGGGAAGGGTTTGGTTCAGACTTCGGATGACCATGAGCAGTGTTTTAGACAGGAAGGCATTTCAAATGCAGTTCCCTTCATGGTTACTGTTTTCTTAAACACAAACTGCATATTCAGCTTTAGGTCCCGGTTAGGTCGTTGAACACCTACAGTGACCGCGGGCGACATCTTCTTTGCTGTCGTGGACGCACTGTAATACCACGAAACCCTAACTAACCAACGGAAGCTCCACGAGACACAACACGTTCCCAACCACGTTAGCTGCTCCGCGGAAAACAACGGTTTTACTCTCAAAAGGGTCACAGATTTACGCTGTAGGTGACCTCGCTTTTCTTAAAATTTCCATTGTAATAAAAACATGCCACCTTTTTCCCCGAGACGCTTAGGTCTTCCGACTCCTCATTACCTGCTTGCAGAGGCTCGCCTGCTCCGAGAGGACTCCCCCCGGAACGGGGCGTCTGCGCCTGAGATGCCGGTTTGGTGGCGTCCGCCGCTCCAGTGGCTTCCAGGTTAGCAGAACAGCCCGACTGCGTTGTTGACATGAAGGGCTGCAGTCCGCCTTTTAAATGTGGACTTGGCAACGCCCTTGCTCAGCGCACCTCTGGCAGCGGGCACACTGGCTGCCGGGGGTCCTTGTGTCGTTCCCAAGGGCACACCGGGCCTTTCCTGGGCCTCAGCTCCTCAAAGCACAGTTTTTTCTCCTCGAGTGATAACATTTAGCCTCTTACACTCCAAGTGTTTCCTTCTTGCGAAGCCCACTCCCAGAGTCCTCCGGGTTAGCCAGGTGCTCCTGGCATCGCGGAGAAACCGGGAGGAGGGGCCCATGGGCGCAGGTGTGTGCCGGGCAGGCGCCCGTGTCCGGCGGCCGGTCCTGGGTGCGGGGGGCAG